CATTTAGTGCACTCGGCTGATTGTAATAAGCAATCAATAATCTGAATGCAAGTATATGTGAGGAGTCGGTTTAGTGACACGCTCGAAGGAACGGCAGTGTTGCGCTTCAGGAAGAGCTGGCGAATCTGGGATAGCCCTCTCTATTCATGCCAAAGAATAAACTGTTCCATGGAGCGCAGACGGCGTTGTCTGTAACCGCGAAAAACGGCATATGAATTCCAGCTGAGTGAAACGAGTAATAAATTCCTATTGGCCGCGACGCGTCATAGTTCCAAGGAACGCCACCCCACAGAGAAGTCCTCTTCCTGGCGCTGCGGCCCGCGCGCCGGTAAAAGGGAGAGGGGTTTGCCCGCGCGGCCCCCGCTGTCAGGCGTGGCCGGAGGGGGAGGGGAGCGGTAAATTCCCCTCCCTCTCCCTGTGTACTATTGCATCACGTGTTCTACGCTCTGCTGTCAGCCATGTCATGCCGCCCGGCCAGTTTCTGTGGAGGACAGCGGGGCGCGTTGCTGGTAGGAATGCGCTGCGTGTACGAATGCTTTCACATTCCTACACGTAAGGAGTCTTAAGTATCCTGTGATTTTTTGTTGCCTATGCTTCTGAGTTCAAAGTTTACAAGGGGTTCTGTGCGTTGCCGTGTTTGCAACCTCCGGGTTTGCATTCGGTCTGAACACGATTCTAGAAGGTTAAACCAACAAACCTTATTGCGTACGCTGGGTGGAGGACATTCCCAGCTCTGATTTCGAGTGACGTGTTCAGCGATCAATGTGGCTGTACTGTCATACGGTTCAGTTGTTTTTCGGGTTGCCCACCTCCCTTTGTCGCAATAGACGAATACTCAGGTTAGAATTAAAACGAGGCTGTTTAGACGGTGTTGTACAAGTTACTCCTCAAAAGTCACGAAATACCTTTACCCGTTACTTAGCATTAAAAATAACTAGGTAGAAGTAACTCGGTACTAGTAACGCGTTAAATACATGTCTGGGTCTACCCCCTATCCTTTCAATCGAACCCAAATGGAGCTCAGCGTCGTTCTGACGTCACCGCAGCCCCTGTACAAGAAGCAGACGACTTGCTCCCCGGATATTGTTGTTACGTTTCAAATTGAGACGCTGTATCAACTTTATTGTGTCACTTATACCTTGTCTTTAAGTTTCCTTCAAAGTCTCAGTCAGGGTCGCGATTAATACGCACCAGTTCGCTCGCATTTTGAATATTTTTTTTTTCTCGCAGTCTGTCTTGATATGAAATCACCTTTTCAACGAATTCCCGTGAACTTTGTTACGCTGACGCTTGACATGATCACCAAACGGTCGGTTCAGTTCACTTAAAGAAGCGAAAAAAAATACAAGGACGAGAAAGTAAACAGACAAGAGCGCAGCCCTTCTTTTAAAGCTCTTGTCTGTTTACTTCCTCGTCCTTGTATCTCTAGGCGCTCTTGTCTGTTTACTTCCTCGTCCTTGTATTTTGGCGCTTCTTTAAGTAAAGGCCCGTTCACACTCTTGCAACCGAGTACGACCGAGAGAGACCAGACCGGTTTTTAAGCCTTTTGCGACTTCTTAGGACCGGATGCGCTGCAGCGCGGAGCTGGTTTTAAGAGATCGCAAGAGGCTTAAAACCGGTCTGGTCTCTCTCGGTCGTACTCGGTTGCAAGAGTGTGAACGGGCCTTGATCATGAACCAACTAACCCAAATAGCTTCCTTAACGCGTTTTAATTTTTCTGTTTCACTGACAAGGGGTCAGAGCAACGGTCTTCATGTCTACAGTGAGGGAAGCGGCAATATGACCTTTGACCTTTCGTAGCAGGCTTTGTAGCAGGCAAACTGCTGGCTTGGAGCAGCCAATGACGGTTTTGGAGCAGATGGCAACGGTTATCACGTCACTTTAAAATGAAAATTTAATTGAATCTCTCAGTGAGTTCATATCTGATAATGACGGAGGGTCCCTCTTTGGTACTGGAGCATATTACTTACTATCTTTTATAGTAAGAATGGATGGGACGCAAAAAGAACACACAGCCGTCTTTTTTAGAAGAAAGGCTCAGCTCAAAGTAGGTTCCATATTGAATTGTTATTTAAAAATATTGTTCAGAAACGAAGCATAGCGCAACACTTCACTTGACATAAGGCCTCCATCCCTCCCCCTTTCACATTCGATCGTTCATTTAGCCTGTAAATACAATTGTTCTATTGTCAGCAAAAACAAACATATCCGTAAAGTCAATTAATAAAAATAGGTCCCACCAAGTTTGATGAACACCGAACTCAAGTATATAATATCATAAAGAACGACAACAACCACCCACAAATATTATGAAAACCTACTCGTACATCTGCGCTTTAAAGGTGATACTCCGCTTTTGCTACGTTCCAAACTGAATTGAGTCGATTGACTGCTGCACGGGGAACTACATTAATCACCGGATTTGTTCAAATATAGACCCGCGTTTTTCTCCGCGTTTTTCTAATTAGAAATCGGCCTATAGTCAAGACCAAAAAAAAAATGAAAGACGTTTACAAATTTCTGTAATGCGAAATTAGAGCGCAGCTCTTGAGGAAGGGGAGGGGAGGGTACGGAGGGGAGGGAATGCCCCTCGTCCTCCTCCGTACCCTCCCCTCCACCTCTCTTCCTCCTCCTCCGTTCCTCCTCCTTTCCCCTCTTCCTCCTCCTCCTTTCCTCCTCCTCTCCCCTCCTCCTCCTGCATACCCTCCCATCGTCCTTCTCCGTACCCTCCCCTCCTCCCACAGTTTCCGTGCTAGATTTAACTAGAAAATTGACGCCACGTGACCTCAACACCAATTCAGTTTCCCCACTATATTTAGCGGGGAAAATGATGCCACATGACTTCGTGTCACGTCACCCACGAACAAATTCAGTTTCTTCGCTCGATTTAGCAGGAAAATTGACGTCACGTGACCTCAACACCCATTCAATTTCCCACTCAATTTAGCGGGGCCGTTACGCCGACGGCGGCGGCCTTTTACGCGGAAACGGGCGCCTAAGAGCTGCGCTCTAGAACGTCAACTTTTAATAGTACTGAGCATGATTTCCGGGCCAATCGCGCTAGCCCATGCGCTCCCCCAGGTCAGCCGCTGCTCCTAGCACTCCGGAGTAATGCGGTGAAGCTCGGCCAGCGAGCGCGGTGTGAAGCGTGAGGGTTGACGCGAGCTGCGCAAGTGCCACGGTACTGTAGCCACCGCGTAGAAGCATACGGCAGATATATTATCGGGAGTAAAAGACCCTGTTTCTGTCTGATTGCAGTACACTCTAAGAAATGCCTGCGCGTCTACTTACCCGCAAAACACTCGAAGAGCCAATTTCTGCGATCTACAAAATCAGCTCAGCGAATGATGAGACGGAACATCCGTTCAGACCTAAAAATTAAGTCTGCGCTGTGGCATTACGCAATGCAAGCATGGCGCTTTGCATTGCGTAATGCCACAGCGCAGACTTCATTTCGAGGTTTAAACGGATGTTCCGCCTCGTCATTCGCTGAGCTGATTTCGTAATCACAGAGATTGGCTCTTCGAGTGTTTTGCGGGCAAGTAGACGAGCAGGCATTTCTTAGAGTGTAGCTGCCATCCCACTATTTCGAAAGTTGTTCTCCTAACTTTCCGCTCCTGAAATCGCCAAAATCGTCTGGAAATTCAGATTATGACGGGGTTAGCGCAGTTGACGAGGAATCTCTACACTTAGTTTCATCGCAGTTCAAAGCACAGGTGACCCTACCAGCATAAAAGCACTATATCATAGCACTCGTCATATATCTCTGTACGTGATGTTTAATCGCCTAAACTTATAAAGCGCAGCGAATAGGCTTGCGCTTTTTGCAAGTGTGTTCCTGATTGTATGTGTTTCAGTCTTCGATTGGCATTTGGCATAAGATGAAACAAACTATACAGTGGACAGAGATGCTGTGAAAATATATATTTGTACTATTTTCGTTTCCTTCTACTTCCGTATATAATAAAATCGAGCAATAATTTTTTTTTTTTGCTTCGTTTAGGCCCACCTCGGCGCAAGTGTGGCGCAATTCTTAGCAAAAATGGCGCTTTGACGCAAGTTGTAGCAGACTATTGTTCATGGCGCAGTTTGGCGCAATTTAGCGCGGCACTTACATCAGTGCGTCTATAAAGAACTGGATAGTATCAACTTCGGAAGATGATTGGTGAGATTCAAGCCACTTCTTTTCTTTTTTTTTCTTATGTATTTAGTATTCCCGTAAATAGGTGGTTATGTGAGTGCTACTAATTGAGCGTCATTGGGAGAACTTTCTTTTCCAAACCAACAAAGGCAGGTCTGTCTGTAGCAAACAGGCACTTCGCTCAATCAACCTTGCTGGAGCTAGAACTGCACACGCGTAGGAATGGAGGCTACAGTCACAAAACTAGCGTCTAGAAGGGAAAATGAAAAATCAAGAACTTCAGTCGTTTCAGCTGCTATGGACCTTCGTTTGCTCTCGTCCACAGACACCTGGGGCGACGAAAAAACAATAAAACATTTTAACCTGCAAATAGATAAAAAAAAAAAAAAAAAAAAAACTAGAGGCGAGGCAAAACGAGGATGGATGACGGTTGCGCTTAGATCCTGAATGACCTCTCTAGCGTGGCGACGGCCAGTGTTTTCGGCCATACTGGAAGTGACGAGATTCAAGATGGCAGCGCCTTTGTGCAAATGTTCTATACTCCTTTTTTTCATACGATGAACCGCGGCGGATGCTTCACGAGATCGAAGCCAATATCCAATGCCATGGGAGTGTCACGTGACCTTGGGGGGACCCCGGGGGGGGGGGGGGGGGGGGGGGGCAGCGACACGCGGGGGGGTACAGTCACGTGATGCATTTACAGCGCAGGATTGGCTAGAATGGCTCGTAGCTTCCGCTGAGGCCCATCATAAAATGAAAGAAATATAAACGGAGCACCTGCATGTCAAAGTCACGTTAAAGTTACGAGATCCTCAGGGGAAAAGGGGCGGGGGGAGAGAGGGATAGAGCGGGTGCTCACCTTCTCCAGGACAGGTCTTGCAGCAACGTTCGGGAAGGAGCACGGGGTCCTCGCACGTGGGCTTGGGACAGTCGTTTTTGATGTTCTCGCATCGCACCCGAGCCACCACTCGCTTCTTCCGGTGTACCTGCGCAGTCCAAACACGCCGAGTCGTGAGGGCCAACGTTCTTAGATCTATCAGTTGTCAAGCTCCACAGAAGAGCGTCGTTCGAAAACGGTTTCTCTCTGTCAAAGACTTTGAAATACCCCAGGACCCGGCATGATGTCATTCTCAGCGATACTGGAAAAAATAACTAATCCCAGACTGTTTCGCGCACCGACACCACATGGATGCCACCGACGCGCTCTCATCCAAGCTCCCATCGTCTGCTCACCGCTCGGATAGGCTACGTCAGCTCCGTGCCTGTGGTCAGCTTCGTCTACCCGCTCTCGCGGGCTGGCTTTCGATACGACCGGTGCACCAGAAGAAGATTGGATGCGAATGCGCATTCTCATCATGGCGGAGGGAAACGAATATTTGCCGGAAGCAGGGCTTGTACGGCTTTCTCAACCCGCAGTGCCATCCTCAGCCTTCGAGCGTGCGACGACTGACGCGCTCATTTTCCAAAGCCGCGCTGTGAAGATCCGCTTTAGAAGACGCTCCCGGCGCGGTATCGAGAGCATACGCCACACGACGACTTCCCATTGGTCAGGCAAGTGTTGGGCTCCAAATCTCACCTGTTCGACACCGATTCAGTGGGTGCCGGCATGTAAATATGCAGGAGAAAAACCAAGCCGCATTGCCATGGCAATGTCATAGAAACGCGGTTGTTTTTTCTTCACAATTACATGGCGACGTTCATAAATTGAGTTTCCTGGTTGCAATGAAAATAACGCGAGACTGTGGTAAAAGATGGTGAACTTAGTAGAAGAAAAAGGATACAGGAAAAGCATCGTCTCGTTGACCGAGAGACTGGGGGACATTTCTTAGCCACGCCTACTTCCGTTACACTTCGCTCCATGTACAAAGAATGAGGAGGCCATCTCCTGCCCGTCATAACCTCCTTGTTCTCGGTTGCCTGCAGGCGAGTAGGTACAGACGGAAAGCGTTCCTAGCGTCACCAGCGGAAACGCCTTCACGAACAACGGAAAAGGGTCGTTTTTGAACGACACTTTTTTGCGGAAAACTGTTGCGCAGACTTTATGTTTACCATAAAAACCACAAGAGACTCATTTTCCACCACAGGCAATGTGTGTCCCACGTTCCACCGGTTCCGCCGCTTCTGTCCATGGGGCGGGCTGATAGCGTAGGGAGCGCCACGGAGAAAATACGCCACGAAAAAGCGCCAGACGTTCTAGAAAGCTTGTCAACTGACTTTGATCAAGTAAGGTTGTTGGCGGCAGCTTGTCGCCCTTAACAGCCTCTGAGACTTCTCAGTTGCGAGAATAATTTCCCCAACTGTCAACAACGAACACTGGGTCATGCCCAGTGTTGTATGCACCGACCACTGCCTTCAAATAAGCTCTCAATAGTCCCGCATATAGAACCGTGACTAGGTGAAAAAATGAAACTGGGCAAGACACCCGACAATTAAACCTGAAGAACAGCAGGCAGAAAGGAATCGTCTTAATCTAGCAGGAAAATAAAACGGTTAATAAACTTGACGTATAAAAATGTCGTTAAAAAATACCACCGCGGCCGAACGCGTCGAAACAAATTCATTCGGCTGACGCGCTCCAAGTTGGACGCCCACAAATATACAGCAAACACACAACGCAGTTCTGAGTGTGAAATTCAGAACAATGCAAGACCTGGTAAAAAATACCACAGCTTCGCGACAAAAAAAAAAAAAAAAAAAAAAAAAAAAAAAAATTACACACTGTAGCTTTTGCGAAAATAGACAAATGGCGGCCTGCACCGGGGAACCTTTTCTCGCGCTGATTATTAGCCTCTTCGCTCCGTAAACAAGCGTTAATTGACACGATAGTATTCCAATAGCACGCCTAGATAGCGGGTGGAAAGAATTGACCAGGCAACCTGTGCGAGAACTTTTGGCTTCGATTCCCATCTGCCGTGCCAAAAACCCGATAATTCAGACCAGTTCACGGAACATCCCGCCCGAGAAGAAAATGTTTTCGCTATTTTGATGGCCTTTGCAATGTTCTCTATTACGTGCAAAAAAAAAAAAAAAAAAAAAATAGCGGTGTCGTCCGCATAGGCCAAAATGCGAACCCCGCGCTGATTCAAGGTAAAGCCGCGAACATGCTCACTTTGAATGTTACTCAGACAGAATGGTTCAAGATACAATGCCAACCGTAATGGCGAGAGCGGACAGCCTTGCCTAACAGGAGATTTTGCAGGAGTACGTTCACTGACTCACATACTAACTATAAGATTCGCTGTGCAATTATAATATGCTATTTATTTATTTATTTCAGTTTACCCCGCAGCGCCAGTCGCATTATAGCAGGGGCCGGGGGGTGGGGGGGGGGGGGGGGGGAAGGGGGGGGGGAATAGTACATTTGCGTATAAGATGACATGAAGTCCTTCAAAAATATTGGATCCTATATCGATATGTTTCAAAGTTTGGCTGAGAACGTCATGAGACAGCCGGTCGAAGGCATTTTCCAAGTCAACTTGTAACATGGCGACTTTGCTCAGCTCAGCGTCACAGCACATCAAGATACTGCGCGCAACATGAATGTTGGTGAAAATATTCAAGCCTTGTATGCCGCATGTCTCCCTCGTTATCACACACTGCAAATGGCGAGCGCAGACTTCAAATAATATTTTATAATCAACATTAATAAGGCTTATTGTACGGTAGGAGCTAACACTGCGAAGCTTAACGGGGTCGTCACACTTTGGGATTAACACTTGGACTTAACACGTACACTGTCTGTGTGCGTGAAAAAGAAAACAAAGGGGGGAGACTTTTTTTTTTTTTTCATTTGCCTCGGTAAAAACTTTGAATAACACGGATGGAATTTCATGTTTAATGTTTCGTAAAAGCCAGCAGTTAAGCCATCCCTGCGTGGCGATTTTCCAGGTTTCAAGTCATCTATCGCTATTGTTATTTCTAACAAGCTGATTAGTTTCTCTAAAAAGTCCGTATCGGTTCTTTCAACCGTCGGCAGTAGAGGCGGAAAGTCGTCCTCAAATCCTGGCAGTGGTGGGGCGCTACAACTCTCTTCGGTGTGAGTTTTATCACTGGACAAAACCCCAAGGTGTTCTATTTCAACTTCATCGTTATACTTCGTTTTAGCTCGCAGCCGAAAAAACACGCGCGAACTCCAGGCTTTCAGCGTCCCTGCCAAGCACGCACGCTCGTGCAGTGCAAGCGCTGTTCAGGGCCACATGCTGGCGCTTATAGCATCGGCTGCGTCAGGACTTTCAGCTGAAACGAAGCGCGCGCGCGTATTTCTTTCCGCCACCACCACTCTTTTTGTCGGCTGCTCTCCCACCAAGAAACGCTCCATACACGCCCGTATAGCCACCCTTGTATCGGTCGCGATCGTGAATCTCGAGTTTGGCTTTCAAAATGTTAATATCAATGAAACGCAAGGTGCTCGGCATTCTTCCTGTAACAACTTCTCCAAGTTGTTTTTTTTTTTTCTTTTTTTTTTGGTGCTCTAATTCTTTATTTTTGTCCTGATACTATACTCTATTTCACCTTATGATGTACCGCAGGAAAGGCTACAAGCGCGAGCTCCTTGCCTTAGGGCATACCTCGGCGGCACGAGCTTTCGTGCATTAAAGGCAGCTGCCAACGCTGTGGCCTCGTGCTTCTAGCCTTCGCTGCGGTACAACATAAGGTGAAACGAAGTATAGAGGAGACATGTACTTTCAGGTGCCGTTAATTTCACCTCCTGTTTAAATGCCTCTCAGCGCTCACTTCCACTGCCTCCTTTCAGTTGCATATGTCACAGCAGATTGTCTTAATAATGGAAAGAAATGGTTCATCCTTCAGAAGTTTACCATTCATTTTTCATAATTCCCATGAGAAATTCGCCGCTTCTTTCTTGTTACCTAATTGAAAGGTTACAAAGCAGTGATCGCTACAAGCAACATTGTGTACAGAGTAACCTCGACATAAATATACGAGAGCCAGTGAGATATACGCTTGGTCCGGTCTAAAGTGACTGGCACCCTGAAAGTGCGTGAAAGGCATACATTTGGACCTCGACACACAACATGCGACGTCTTCGAGAACAAAATCTTCAAAGTAATGTTTGTCAATCCTGGGGTACTGGCATTCCTAGTGCGTTCGGTTGGACCTGTCTTCAGCCCAGCAGACACAATTAAAGTCACCCAAAGTAATGAGAAAACGATTAAACTATCAATGTTGAAAACGTTACGAAAAAAAAAACAAAAAAACTTCGCTCCTCAGCTTTATTAGGTGCATAAACACAAGTGACGCGCCATTCATTACCCATAACAGGACATTAGCACATGACAAACCTCCCAGACGGGCAGGTCGTGACAATTATCACGACAGCCTAGGGATTTTCTGAGGAACAGGCAGCAGCCAGCCGAGAAACCAATGACTCACGCGGAACTCAAACCGCGCCAGAAAAGGCCGCACCATGCAGTCGGCCTGGGCCTCGCTCTCGACTTTGGCCTCTTGAATTGCGACAATGTCCAAGTCATGCCCGGTGAACAGCCGGTAGAGCTGCTGCAGCCGTCGTCTGGCCGGGAGGTCGCGAACGTTCAACGTGGTCACGCTCACGCGCAGGGTATTTTCGAGGGAAACCATCGAATCGCGAGTCTCAGACTTCGTACGCTGGGCTGACCTCTCGCTCTACCATGGGAAGAGACGAACAGCGGCCGCAGCCAGCTCGTCGTCCCTTCTTGCCCGTCGCCACCAACCAGGGACGCTAAGTGTGCTGAAGCGACTGGTCGGTTCCCTGCTCAGGGTCGTTGAGCTGCCTCTTGACCATCTCAGTCGCGAAGTCCATTGCTGTACCATCTCCGGCGTCAAGTGTGTCAGCCGCGTCCTTTGAAACCGGTGTCGTCTTATTGGCCACCATCGCATTGGGCTCAGTTTCACCAACGGGGCTTCTGAAGTCCATGCTACGGCGGAAACCTGCAGCTTTCTGGCAACGCTAACGGCGCGCGTTGCTGCGCACCCGACGCCTGAGGGTCTT